CCTCCGACACCCCCGTCCTGCCCTGGGCCCCCGCGGGTTCCACCCTCGGGGACGTCGCGTGGGTGGGACCACGTGGCCTCTGTCCTCTGTCGCCAGCTCGTTCCACTCAGCATAGCGTCCGCGGTTCCCCCGCTCTCGCGTCCTTTTGTGCGTGACGTTTTTCCGGACCAACGAAACTTCTCTAGCACTCGCGTAATTTTTAATTCTCGTGTTCCGTGAATGAGTGTGCAGCAGATTACCTGAGGTTCTCTGAAACTTTCCTGTGCTGCCCTTCCGTGTCCTGCAACTCCGGCTGACAGAGCCCAGTCCCCTCGGCGGCTCGGTCGCGAGGGCGCCCCTAGCACGGGCTGCGCCTTCCTATCGCGTGGAGTACACGCTTCTCTTTAACAGTTCCCAGTGTGTCGGGAGAGACCCCAGGGCTACTAGGCGCCCCCACAGCTGCAGACGCTGCTGCTGCCGCCCGCAGGCCGTGCTACCGAGTGGCCCCCGCCTCTCCCGGAGGGGACCTGCCTGGGCTGGGTCCTTGTGGGTCACCCGGGTCGACCCAGCCCCAGCAGAGGTGCCGACCAGGGGCCCCAGCACATGCAAAGGAGAAGGTCTCGGAGTCCCGGCCCCACTGTTTACTCCAGACGCAGCCTGCCTGTGGCCTCGGGGCCCCCCCACGCTCCGCCCTGGGGGCCCCCTGCAGAGGGCTCAGACGCAGCCCAGACAGGCCCGCCGCCTTCTTCCTGTTCCTGGGGCACCTGGCTGCTGAGACATTGGAATGATGTCCGATAACACACTGGACGTCCCTTGGGGCGGCGCTTGCGGTCACAGCTCCTGAGGTCACTTTGCCCCCGAGGGAAACAAGTAGGGTATTGTCCTCGGGCTGTGCCCTGCCTCCACCCCTCGCAGCCCCCCAGCCGTGCCCTCCCGGGAACCTGGTGGGGCGGCGTCCAGAGGCGGGGGCCTCAGAGTCTGGCTCCGTGGGGGCCGGGGCAGGGGCAGTGGCCCTGCAGGGGCGGGAGGGCAGCAGCACCCAGGCCTGGGCTCCTCGAGAGCAGGGACCCTGGCTCAGCCACCCGAGGCTTCCAGCTCCGGCCAGGACAGGAAAAGATAAAGTGGTAAATAAGATAAAACTCGTTTTATCTGGAGGAGATAAAAGTAAACTTTATTATACGATTCTGTCTGAGGCAGAACAGTGCGTTCAAATATTTGCAGAACTGTTTAGCGGGCAGAACACAGCAAGGCCGAACGGCGGCCTGGCCTGCGGGTATCGACTGACACCCGCCTCCCCCCACCGCAGGGAGGGTCTCCCACGCCAGCCCTGGGGGAGGGACTCCTTGGGCAGAGCCCCCCCACCCCACGCCCTCGGACCCAGAACCCTGATCTCGGGGCAGCGGTGGCTCTGTCTACACGGGGGCTCCCCACACCCCTCGGCCCGGGGGAGGGGGGGCGGACGTCTACCTGGCGTCACGTGGCCTAGGCCCCGTCTCTGCCGCGCTCCTGTTGGGAGGTGGGGGCCAGGCCTGTCCTCACTTGGGTCTTCCCTCCTTGGCGCGGCCCAGGCAAAACTCTCCCAACTGCAGTAACCCGCAGGCGCCTGAGTCCGCTGTGCCTCCTGTGGGGTGGGCAGGAGAGGCCCCTCAGCCGCCGGAATCCATGCCATGGAGTCCAGGCTCTTTGTAGCGGTTTGTGAAGTTTCCAAGCCCTGCTCGGGGCGTGAACGCGTGCTTCGTACATAGCGCTAACTCCTCACTAGGGCGGCGCGAACAGCAACGGCAAACGGGAGGCCGTCCCCCAGCAGCGCAAGAATCACACGGCCGCTGTGAGCAGACGCAGGTGCCTTTTTGCAGGCTCCAAAAGGCACCGTCGCCGGTGGCCCTTAGCAGAGTGGCCCGAGGGCGGCTGCGCTATGTGGCACCTCGTGGCTGCTCATCGTGGCGCCCCAGGAGGACAGAAGACGTTGCCATCGGTCCTCTTTCCCTGCCTCCGCTCTGGAGAGTTTCAAGCCTGCCACCCACATCGTGGCCCTGGGCCCGGAGGCTGCAGTCAGCAGACCACGGCCCGTCCCTCCCTGGGCTCAGTTTGCTCGTGGGTGAGGTGCTGAGCGCAGGGCTCTGCGTGGGTCGCTGAGGGGCTGGGGGCAGTGGCGTGGCTGTCTTTGCTCAGCTGGCAGCTACCAGTCAGCTGGGGCTCAGGCCTCTCGTGGTTGGCTAAACGGCAGCCCCCGAAGGCGTCCACGTCCCAGTCCCGTGCACAGGTCACGTTGTGTGGGTGGAAACAGGGGCTTTGCAGGTGTGAGTGAAGGGTCTTGAGAGGGGGTCCTGGCAGGCCGGGTGGGCCCTGTGGTCTCCAGACTCCTTCCAGGCGGGGGCAGAGTCAGAGAGGAGACCTGATGACGGAGGCTGAGCTGAGAGGCCGGAAGATGCTCCGTGGCCCTCTCAAGCAGGCCTGGGGGACCCGGCTCAGCCTTGTGTCTCCTTGGGTGGCGTGTCCTCTTGCCTCTTGGTGTAGCCCCCGTGTGCCTGCAAGAGCCCTTGGAGCCTCAGTTTCCCCAGCCGTAGCATCGCTTGATAGCAGCGTGGTGGTGAGGACACAGGCTGGCACGGTTGCCGTCCGTGGTGCTCTGGCCGGCCCACGTGAGTGGCGGGTTGGTCCTGGCTGAGGGTGGCCCGCTGTCCCCCGGAGCACTTCCTGCTGCTGGACGCAGAGCTGCTCACCAGTTCTCGTGGGGGCCTTGAGTGGGTGGGTGGTTTCCCTACATCTTCACGGGAGGAGACGGGACGGAGGCCTCAGGCGAAGTCACGGGGCTCGCTCCTGAGTCCTGAGCTCTGACGGGACGTCCAGCCACATGTCCTCCTGCAGCCGGGGAGGAGGCGGCCGTGGGCTCTGGCTTGTGTCGGTGCAGAATCCGATGCAGGAGAGCTGCCTGGGCCCTGCGGCCGTGGAGGGCAGCGGGGGGTGCTGCGTCCTTTTGTGCAGATGCCCCGTCTGCGCCCGGGGGCCCGGGGAGCGGGTCGGGAGGGCGTCGCCTGCCCCTGGCAGCACCGGCTCTGCTTCCTCTCGGCCAAGCCAGGCTGTGCCTAACCCGCTGCCCTGCTCGCTGCGGATCAGACAGACACGTGGGAGGGTTAGGCGTGGGGGCCTCGGTGTGAGAGCCCTCAGGATGGGGTGAGCCCGCAGCCGGACCAGCAAGGGGCAGAGGCCGTGCGGGCTGGGGGGCCACGTAAAGCCCCTTTCGAGAGCCTGGCTGGAGCCCCTGGCCCCCACAGTGGGCGCCACGCTCTGTGCTGGGCGGGGTGGCCTAAGTCATTTCCCAGAGCCTGGGATGGCACCCGCTGCCGATGGGCACCGACCCTCCTGGCTGATGACTGCTCGTGTCCCCACGAGGTCCGAGCTGAGCTGGGAGCCCCCGTTGCGTCTCCCCTCAGAGGGCTCCCCACAGGGTCTGACCGGGGGTCCTGGCCCCGCGTGTCGAGTGCATGACTCTGCCCACTCCGACTGCCTCTGTGGGTGGTGTCTCGGGGACAGACAAGGGCATGGGCAGTTGCAGCTTGGGGACGGCCAGGCCCAGGGGGTGCTTGGAAGGGCCTAGACACCCCGTCCAAGCTGGGCAGGAAGGGTCCGAGGCGGGGTGGGGGGGGCGGGGGTGCAGAGAGGGTGCCTGGTGGGAGGGCCTGCGGGTGAAAACTCCAGGCGGCTTGACGGAGCCAGGGCACCGGGCGTACGCGGAGCGGGTGGTGGCAGGTGAGGCCCGAGGAGGGGCGGGGCTGCGTGCCCTGCCCCCAGGCCTGCAGGGGCCCCCCGAGACCTGGGGCTGATCAGGCTTGTGCTTTGCCTCCGGCGTCCTCCGTGGGTGTGTGACTGGGATCAGTGCTACTGCACTGCGCTGTCGCCCACTGAGGGGCAGGGCAGTGGGTTATCACGGGAGGGACGTGGGCTGCCAGAGGCCAGGAAGGGGCATGCTGGCTGCTGCAGCAGGGCCGTGGGGGGAGCATTAAAATCCACTGGGGGGGCAGGATCTTGAGGAGGCCTGGGCCGAGGGCCAGTGCTATGGTCCCCTGGGCTCTGTGCCTGTCGGCTTCCTCTCTGTCCATGTTTCCCACGGGGCAGCTTCCTACCTGTCCTGTCCCCAAAGACCCCCCTCAAGGGCGCTTGGAGTCTCTGGCGCCCGTGGAATCTCTTCCCAGGCAGGAGGAGGGCCGGGGCCACCTCAGCCTGGTGCTACTCGGGGACGCTGAGCTCAGCCGAAATGCCACTGGCGGGGGTCAGGGCCCTGGAGGGTTTGCTGCAGGAGGTGGCCTCCTTATCGTCCCAGTTCTGGTGTGATCAGAGCAGGCCGCCCTCTGCGTTCTCTGTGTGCCGGCCGGGCCCAGAGAGTTGGCACAGGGTGGGGCTCTTTGTGCCTTCCCTTTGATGAGTTCCGCGGCTCAGCGGCTTCTGGGACCTGGGAGGGGAAGCGAGAGGAGAAGGGCCACGCCCTGCAGCCTCGAGGCCCCTGTGGGAGCCACAGACTCTTGGGGACAGCCTGACAGCAGGTGCGGGAGTCAGGCCCACCCGACAGGCAGCTCCTACGCTGTTGCCGCCAGGAGCCCCTGCCCGCGGCCCTGAGCTCCGGGGGCTCAGCTCCTCTTTGGAAGCAATGAGCAAAAGCAGCTTTACCGTGATGCAGTCGCGCCCCCGTCCACGGTCCATTTAGGCGCAGTGTGCCCCCCCCCCGGCGGTTCTCGGGGCGTTGAGAGCCGCGCAGCCATCACTACCATCTACATTCAGAACGTTCAGTCGCTTTGAACGGAAGCCTCGCGCCCTCCTGCAGCCGCCGTCGGCTTTCTGTTCCCGTGGGTCTGCCCGTCCCGGCGCGGTTGCGCGGCAGGTGGCCTTTCGTCTCGGGGTCTTAGCGCGCTGCAGCGTGGGTGGCGCTCCGCCCCTCTGCGGATGCTCCACGCCTGTGTCTGCGTGCCAGCCGCGGGGTGACGGGGCTCGGGCGGCACTGGGTGGGGCCGAGAAGTGGGGCCTCCATGCCCAGGTGCGTGGGGGGACAGGGCGGCCGGGTGGACAGGTGGCGTGGGAGCTGACCCTCTGGCCTGTCTTGCAGCTTCCTCATCGTCCTGGTCTGCCTCATCTTCAGCGTGCTGTCCACCATCGAGCAGTATGCCGCCCTGGCCACGGGGACCCTCTTCTGGATGGTACGTAGGCACCCCGGGGGCCGTGGCAGTCGTCATAGTCGCCCTGGGGACTGGCGTCTCCTGGGCATTTGGCCCAATAAAGTGGAGCAGAGCTGTTCCCAGCCTCTCACCTGCAGTCACCTGCCGTCCAGCCCCGACTCATGAGCCAGCCCCTCGGAATGTGTGTGCCACAGATGGGGAGGGCTGAGGAAGGAGCGGGACCTGGAGCTGGTGATCTGGGGGGGCTTCCTGGAGGAGGGGGCTTCTGAGCTGGGCCAGAAGGAAGGACAGGAGGACCAGGTGTCGTGGCTGGCAGGCCCTGCCCAAGCCTGCACAGTGGCCTTGGAGGCCAGGTGACTCCTGCTCTGGACTGTCACTGGTACACATGTCCCAGCCCTGTCCTCCTGCCCAGTCACCTGGATGGTCCCTGCACTGGCCTGAGAGGCCTTAGCCCAGCATCACCTCTGGCAGGAGCATCTGGCAGCCACGCGTGTTCCTCCCCACGGGTGACGGCTGTGACCATTCGACCTGAGCCTGGGTCCCAGCCCTACAGGAGGTGCTCGGGGCCGTTTGAGGACTGAGAGAATTTCCAGCCGCAGGTCCCGGCCCCTTGGCCTGTGTAGCCCATCTGAGCCCCTCGCTCTGAGAACTGGGCTTTGAGGATCCTCCCAGCCAGCGGGGGCCCCTCAGGACAGCCTGGGACGGGTCCTGGACACCCCCCAGCCCAAGCGGGCCTGGCCCTGTCGGGGCGGATTCACGCGCACGGGCCTGGGAATGGCGCAAGCAGGCTCACGGGCTGGCGGGACGCAGGCACGTCGGGGGACACAGGACACCCGAGGAAGCCGCCTCAACCCAATGGCGGGTGGGCAGGTTCCAGCCAGGCTGCGCCCACCTCTCCCTGGGGCTGCGTCTGCGTTTTCATGTCTCTTCTGGGAAGGTCCCCGCCACCAACGAAGGAAGAGTCACAACGCGGCTCCCTGTCCCAGCTTCCGCAGGGCTGGCCTGGGGCTGTCGCGCTCGTCCGCGCTGTGCTCTCCCGGCCGGGGCACCCGGCCACGCGGGCTCAGGGCCCTCCGAGGTGGCCTCCACAGCAGTGCGTTTCACTTTTAGGCGGTCGACTTTATCTCCCTTCGTTGCTTCTGGACTTTGAGGCATCGTAAGCGCAGAAGAATCCACCCTTGACTTCTCCCAGCGCGCGAATGGCATGTTTATTTTGTGTGTTTATGTGGCCGGTGGCCGTTGGGAATTTCCTGGTGAGTGCTCTGCGGCACAGACCCGCTTTTATTCTCGCCCACGGCCTCCCCGTCGCGCCAACGCCCCTCATTCCGAAGTCCGCTCTCCTCCCGTGGTGCGAGGAGCCGTCTGTCCCGCGAGCCAGGTGTCCCGGTGCCGCGAGACCTGCTCTGGGCGCTCTGTTCCGCTGCGCTGTAGGCCTTTCCACCACCAGGCCGCGCAGGTCTGGGTCTGCGTGTCCTGAAATCCGTGTTAGGACGTGATTTTGCACCAGGGCAGGGGTTTCCTGGTGATCTCGTGTGTTTGCTTTCACGGCCGACATGACACGTCCCGCACCCAGCTCCAGGAGGGACCCTGATGGCATCTGAAGAGTGGGCGCAGGGACGCCAGCGTCTGTGTGTCCAGGGCGTGGCGCGTCTGTCTGCGGGAGGGTTTTATGGTTTTGGCGTGTGGATTTTACACAGTTCTCGTTAACTTCACTCACGATGGTGACACCGATGACAGGAAGCTGTGAGCTGCTATCACACAGGGTGTCTTCTCTTCCCTTACGCTTTCTGGGGACTGTTTTGGTGTCTATGGGGGCTGCTGGTTTCTGTTGTTTTTATAACCCGTGACTCTGCTGTTTCTTTCCTTGGCTCTTGTGCGGTTCTGGGTGAGGGGCCCCTGCCAGGGCTGGGGACACAGCTCGTTCTGCCCGGCACACAGGGGCCGCGGAGCCGTGGCGGGTCGGCCACTCCTGGCTGCGGCAGGGGCCACGTACCGTGGTCGGGAGAGGCCCTTCAAGCCCCGTGTGACGGCGCGGTTGTCACGTGAGGGTGTTCTGTAGCTGGTGTCTTTCCTGCATCTGTGAGATGCTCCTGCTGGGGGGAGGCGGTCCCGCCTCGCTTTCCTGGGATAAACCCCTGGTCTTGGCACGTGATGTTCCGTGGCCGAGCAGAACGTGCTCTCGTATTGTGTCGAGGACCTTTGCGTGACGCTGCGAGGTGGTTCTGTGTGTCCTCTCGTGGTGCCACGTTCATCGGGTTGAGACCATCGTCTTTCCCCTCAGGGTGACTTCAAGTAGCCTTGGGGACATGGGGCTCGTGTTCGAGGTGTCCCCACAGCACTGCCCGGCGGCATCGCGTCCTCCTCCCCCGCTGGCTCTCAGACGGGTGTCCGGCCAAATCACCGGCGCTGTCTTGCAGGAGGGTGTCGTGCCCCAGCCGCAGCTGATGGGGTCGGCCCCACCGGGGGTGGCTTCTCCATGGGGACTGGGTCTGTGGGGTCCTCGGCCTGGGACTTGTCCGTCCCTGGAGGGCCTTGGGCTGAGGGTGCCCAGGGGCTCCCAGGCCGTGAGAGCCTGGCTGCCGAGCATTCCCTTGGGGGGTGAGTCTCCATGAGAGGCCATGTGTGCATCTGTGCACATGCATGTATGCATCTGTTCATATGCACAGGAATGTGTACATGTGTGGCTTTGTGGACACGCGTGGACACGCGTATATGAGAGTATACATGTGCATGTGTTTATATTTGCAGCCATGTGTATCTGAGCATGTATGTGATTGTATGTGTGAGTGTGGGGAGTTATGCATGTTTGAGCATGTACATGTGTTTGCATGTGTGTATCTGAGCATGTACACGTGTATGTGACCAGATACATGCACATTGTGCTGTGTACCTGTGAGCATGCACTGTATACATATTTACACACACGTGGCTATGTGTGTGTTCACGAACGTGTGTTCGTGTCATGTTTACATGTATTAATACATGTAATACGTGTACAGCGTTCACGTGTGTGGCTGTGTGTGAGCCCGTGCTGTTCTTTGTGTGCTGGCTCGCGTCGGGATGGTCAGCTCCGAGTGACCCAGGTCAGTCGCTCAGCTGCTGGGGAGCCCCAGGGTTTGGAACAGCTCCAGCGGCATGGCGCTCCCAGGGCCGCGCGAGCCTCTGGGCGTCCTGGGCCCGGCCGGGGCTGTGGGCACCAGGGCTCCGAGTTCAGAGCCCAACTTCCCAGGTCCTCGTCGTGGGCTCTGGTGGCGCCTTGGCCCCCTCCCAGGGCAGCTGGCATGCGGGCGAAGCTGTGGGGACCCTCCCAGATGCGCCCTGGGCTCTGTGCGTCCCTTTGCAGCATCCTAGAGTCCCCGTGCCCTGTGCGTGGGCCAGGCACAGCAACCGGGTGCAAACCAGCCTGGGGGGGCGCTCGCCAGCACGCAGCCTCTGCCCCGGGAGGGCAGGCGGACCTGGCAGCCTCAGGCCTTGTTGGGTGTGGCCAGGAGCCCCCTCCCTCCCCAGGCAGCGTCTCTCAGGCTGACAGGAGCTCACTGTCCCTAGATCTGGGGCCCAGGGCTGAGGTGTGTCCAGGGAGCACCTTCCTCCTCCACTGCCCGTCCTGGCTTTTCTGGGGCCCGTGCGACACCTGGCGGCCTGTCTCTGAACTGCAGCCACCGTCCTTGGCAGCCCGTCCTGCGCCTCCCTCCCCGCTGGGGCCCCTCTCAGAGGGTCCTTCCCCGCCCCGGGAGGGTAGAGACCGCACGGCCTCCCTTGACCCCATTCTTTCACGTTGGCCACCTCCCTGCCACCCTTCACGTCCCACCAGGTGCCCCTTCCACACGGCATCTGGGGGACCTTCTAATTGTCCCAGAAGCTCCCCATGACATTGGGGTAAACTCTAGCTTCTCTGCCATGGCCCCTCTACCCCCAGACTCCCCGGCCTCACCTATCTGCGCCCTCCCTGCTCACTTCCGGCACCAGTCACTGACGCTGGGACACACTAGCTGCCCCAGGGCCTTGGCACACGCTATGCCCATAATCTGGCTGTTTCTCTGGTGTGGCAAAGGACTGGCTTCTTGTCAGGTGCCAGGCCTCAGCTCGGTGGTCACCGCTTCTGCACGCCCTCCCCGCGTGCCCAGCACACCCCGCAATTTCTCAGTGTCTGCGTGTGATGGGGCTCAGCTGGGGGTTCTGACATTGTCTCCTCCCTCCATCCCACACTCCTTGAAGGGGGGGACCCCATGGCCATGCTCACCCCACATGCCCCGCGTGGCACCTCCAACTGTGGGCGGCCCTTGTCCATCGAGCGCATTTGCCCAGAGCTGCCCCACAGGGACACCCCAAGTTGCTGGGTGGTCCTAGGCCTCAGTTTCCCCACCTGTATAACGGAGGGAGTGGGAGACGACTCAGACTTCCCTTCCTTCACAGCCTTGCCAAGTTTCCAAGCAGTTGCCCAGCGCGCTGGCCTCGTGGACGCTGATCCTTCAGCACGTCCTGCTGCCACTCGTGTCACGGCCAGGGGCTC